TGTTGACACCTTTTTCTCCTCTAGATTTGCTTGTGTATGTATATAATCATAATGTGTATCTATAACTAAATTATTGATTAGAATTTAGAATGGTATGGACTTCATGTGAACAAACATGTTTCCGACCCATCTCCAATCCTAAACCAAGATTTAGATGATGACGATGATGATGATATTATTATTAACAAATTAAGAATTAAAATTTATTGTATAACAAAAAAATGGACATAAATACCGTTAACAACAATTTCGTGCAAAATTCTAGTCGAATTTTGGTCGACCAGAATTATTTTAGGGTGAGCTAAAATTTTGGGTTGGTTGAATATGAGTTTTTCTTTGTGGCTCTGATCAATATAAAATGGAAGGTACAACATATTTTAAACCCTTGAAAAAATGGTTAGAAATTAACTTACTAGTTCAAAGTAAATATTTAAAAGAAAATTGTTGGTGAAATTTTTGACCTTCTCTTTAGAATAGTTGTAAACATGGTGTTGAATTGAACCAACCAATTCATGATCAATCCAAACTATATTGATTTCGGCAATAAATCAAACCAATCGGTTCAATTCAGGTTATTCGGTTTGAGCTTGAGTCCAATCCAAACCTCTCTCCAAAATTTCATTTCTTCTACTGTCAAACTGTTAGTTTGATATCCTTTTGAGTAGTATTTTGTAAAATGACAGTATGCATTAACGTTCGATTATTCGAGTATTACAATTTGAAACAATTATCCAAAGTTTCATGATCATATATGATTTACAAATTGTATACTCGATGGTTCGGGTATAGTGAGACACAATTCATGACGTGATCAAAATATGTCATTCACAATCGGTACATAAAGTTGAATGCTTTATGTTGCTAAAATTGCATTGTTATTATTGAGATTTGTCTAGATTTGAGAATAAGAACAATATTGTGTTTATCATCACATTGAACGGGACTGCGTTGATGACTCATTTGTGATCTCTTGGAATGAGACTCTACTCGATTATCAAACATATCACCTAAATCTTGAGCTAGTAATATACATTTGATTTCTAGTTCAAGTTCTTTAAGGTACTAATGAGTGAAGTCTTAATTAGAAGATTGATCTCAATACTTTGGGAATCAGGTCGAAGCAGTTAGAGATCATATACTTTCGATAGTGGAATCTATTAATCATCATGATGAGACGATTGTCACTATAGGATATTTTTTATAGGCAATTGAACATGAGCTCAATAGTCCAACGATCTCCAACGGTGAGATCGTTGTGATTTGATCACAACGAATCTGCCTTATGAAAATGAGACTTAAAGTGCAATATATGTTGAATGGCAAAACTGTCATTTTGTCGATTGCAACCTATTGAATGCCTGTCAAACGTGGATTGACTTGTGGAATGATAATCATATAATATTGTTATCAGATCATAATTTGCTTCCATAACTATCATTTGACTTGAGAATGCAAATTCGATTTTTTGGTAGAATAAATTGGGATTAATAGATGTATTTCAATTGGTCAATGGTTGAGTCTTGTGAATCCAATTAGAAACATCTATTGGAGCCAGGGGCGGAGCCAGCCCGATGAATTAGGGGGGTCTCGGAGTTGAAGGGGTGGGGACCCACGGGGGTCCGAAATTTTTTTTGAAACATTATGTGTTAAAATCAAGAAATTTGATACTTTGTAATAGAGAAAGAAAACAAC